ATTCTGGGAGTTGAAGTCCACCAGTCATAAAAGAGCCAAGGTTGCCACCTACCCCTGGGCTAGACATTCCCAGTCCTTGCAACCCTCCTTCAGGTGTCCTAGCCCAGGGCAAAGCTTCCAAACCTCCAAAGGGCTCACCTGTAGCCCTTTTCCTCCTCAATGGGGTTTCCGTGGAGAGTCAGGCTGCGCAGGTGAGGCAAGACGGCCAGCTTGTCCACTTCAGAGAGGTGCTGGATGCTGTTGCCATGAAGGCTCAGATTCCGGAGATTGTAGTAGGTGGTCAACACCTGGGAAGAAGTGCAAGAATAACAGGGTGTGTGTGTATGTGTGTGTTTATTTTTATGGCTTGGTTACTCCTTGGTGGCTTCTCTGAGCACCAGGCAAGGGCCCTGGTGTCGCCTTTCAGGTTGATTTCCCAGGCTGGAGCACCTGTCCCTGCCCTTGGCTGTTAAGGGTGGTATTTAGGAGGCTCATAAACCAGCGCTGGGCATCCGGTCCCTCTCTGCCCTCCCACCCCCACATCTCCTCTGGGGTGGGTTTATGCCTGTGCTTTGTGGAAGAACCCAGCTATGTTTAACTGAACTGAATATTTTATTTGGTCAAGCGTGATTAGACACCCAAGGAATTTGTCTCCGGTATAGAAGCTCTTTGGGTGTATACAAAGCAACAGAACCATCACCATCATCATCCCAATGAAAGGAGGAAGTAAAGAACGTAGGATAAGCAATAATAAGACAGCCCCAATATAGGGGTTAATATACACAGACATTATTGTTGTACTATGATATCGTAATATAATACGTATTATTTTATAACATACAACAGTTCATACACTTTACAAGGCCTTGGTAAGGCCACACTTGGAATCCTGCATCCAGTTTTGGTCACCACAATGTAAAAAAGATGCTGAGACTCTAGAAAGAGCGCAGAGAAGAGCAACAAAGAGGATTAGGGGACTGGAGACTAAAACATATAAGGAACGGTTGCTGGAATTGGGTATGTCTAGTCTAATGAAGAGAAGGATTAGGGGGGACATGATAGCAGCCTTCCAGTTTCTCAGGGGCTGCCCCAAAGAAGAGGGAGTCAAGCTCTTCTCCAAAGCGCCTGAAGGCAGGACAAGAAGCAACGGATGGAAACTCATCAAGGAGAGAAGCAACCTAGAACTAAGGAGAAATGTCCTGATTGTTAGAATAATTAACCAGTGGAACTCCTTGTCCCCAGAAGCTGGGAATGCTCCAACACTGGAAGTTTTTAAGAAGAAACTGGACAGTCATTTGTCCGAAATGATATAGGGTTTCCTGCCTAAGCAGGGGGTTGGACTAGATGACCTCCACGGTCCCTTCCAACTTTATCATTATTGTCTGTCTGTCTGTCTGTCATCTATCTCCATGCCAAGGACATGACAGCCAGGCAGCGTAGACAAGACTCTGCCCTCACGCCCCATCATGCAGTTGATGCTACAGGGCGCCGGCAGAGGGCGTGGCCTCCATAGCGCTGCTGGGCTGCCTGGGTGATCTGTGGCAGGCCCTGGAGGCGGTGAGTGGCCCCGCGGGCACGCGGGGCAGGGGATGGGGGGCGGAGCAGGGGCGGGGTAGGGGGTGGAGTGGGGGCGGGGCACTCGGTCTCTAAAAGGTTCGCCATCACTGATATAGGGTTTCCTGCCTGAGCAGGGGGTTGGACTAGATGACCTCCAAGGTCCCTTCCAATTTTATTATTATTATTAAAACTCACATAACAAATCTCTCACAAGCACAGAAATTTTGGGCTCAGTTGTGGTTGTAAGTTGAGAACTACCTGTTTTACAAAGTAATATATAGCATAATAAATATGTACAATATAATATAAAACAGGGGTCTTCAAACTTGGCCCATTTATGACTTGTGGACTTCAACTCCCAGAATGGTATTTTTTTGAGAACTGAATGCCACAAAATTTCATTTTAATATATGCTGATTAGTGTACATTTAAAGAGACAAAGTCCTGTTCTATTCTATTCTATTCCATTCTTATTCCATTCTATTCCATTCTGTAATTCTATTCTACTCTACTCTATTTTTTCTTATTCCATTCTGTAATTCTATTCTATTCTATTCTATTCTATTCTATTCTATTCTTATTCCATTCTTATTCCATTCTATTCCATTCTGTAATTGTATTCTACTCTATTCTATTCTTATTCCATTCTATAATTCTATTCTATTCTATTCTATTCTATTCTATTCTATTCTTATTCCATTCTTATTCCATTCTGTAATTCTATTCTATTGTATTCCATTCCATTCCATTCTTATTCCATTCTATTCTTATTCCATTCTGTAATTCTATTCTGTTCTGTTCCATTCTATTGTCTGTTCTGTTCTATTCTGTTCCATTCCACTCCATATTTTCTATTCTATTCTATTCTATTCTATTTTATTCTATTCTATTCTATTCTATTCTATTCTTATTCCATTCTGTAATTCTATTCTATTCTATTCCATTCCATTCTTATTCCATTCTATTCTTATTCCATTCTATTCCATTCTGTAATTGTATTCTACTCTATTCTATTCTTATTCCATTCTATAATTCTATTCTATTCTATTCTATTCTATTCT